TTCCTGACCAGGCCTCTTTTTGCTACTCGGCGCTACACTAATTAAACTGGTAATTGCGCGGTCATGCAATGCTGCACCCAAACAAAATTTATGTCCTTTTTTTCACACAAATAGAGCTTTCTTTCAGTGGTATTTGATCACCTGTGCGCTTTTTATTTTTCACACTGTAAACAAAAAAAGACCAAAAATTTGAAGAAAAAACAATATTTTTTACTTTCAACTATAAAAAAATATATAGTAAACTCAAAGTTAGTTATAAATTTAGGCCAAAATATATTCTGCTACATGTTTTTGGTAGAAAAAAATCCCAATAAGTGTATATTGATTGCTTTGTGTGGAAGTTATAGCGTCTACAAACTATGGTATAGATACTGCAATTTACAGCATTTTTTGCTATACAGTGCTGCGCTAGTTTAACAGGCAATTGCGCGGTCATGCAATATATATGAAATTTACATCCTTTTTTTCCCACAAATTGAGCTTTCTTTTGGTGGTATTTGATCGCATGTGCGCTTTTTATTTTTTGCTCTATAAAAAAAAAAAAAAAAAAAAAGGCTGACAATTTTGAGAAAAAAAAAAAAAAAAAAAACAATATTTTGGACTTTTTGCTACAAAACATGTCCAGTAAAAAAAAGTGTAAAAATCAAATTTAGCCATAAATTTCTGCCAAAATGTATTCTGCGACATGTCTTTGCTTAAAAAAAAAATCCCAATACGTGTAAATGAATTGGTTTACGTGAAAGTTCTAGCATCTACAAATGGCGGGGGAAAGATACTGGGATTTTTTTTTTCTATTATACTGATAATGGCGGCAATCAGAGACTTATGGCGGTGATCAGCGACTTATGGCGGGAATGCGGCGGACATTTTGACACTGGGGGGGGGAAACTGACTTTGGGTCACTGACATCCCCAGTGACACCAATACAGTGATCAGTGCAAAAAAAAAAAAAAAAAACACTGACACGGTACTAATGGCACTGGGGAGGAAGGGGTTAACTTTTATTAGGTAATGAAAGGGTTAACTGTGTGAGGGGAGTGTTTTACTAGGGGGTGGGGGTGTGTACTTTACAGGAACATGCTGATCTCGAGAGATGAAGCCTTCTCTCAGGTTCAGCGTGCTCTGGACTGACAGATAGCAGAGCCAACTGTCAGTGATTACTTTTAATCGCCGGCACCTGGCGGGAAATTACCCGCCGGGAGCCGGTGATGGACACCCGCTGCCCCGATCGGCAGGACGGGCAGGGCAGGCGCGCACCCCCTACCTATTTTGCACAGCGATGTTAAAAGACGGCGCTGTGTGTACAGGTGCCGCCCTGCCGCAGTAAAAAACACTGCGGCGGGTCGGGAAAGCGGTTTTAAAAGGGCTTCAAAATGCCCATCAATAGAATCCTTTAAAAAGGTGGAAACTTGCTCAATAGAAATTGTAGGGTGTTTATTGAGAAGTGAAATAGTTTCCACTACTGGAATAGTTCCTTTTTATAATCCTTTTCCATGGGATAGACTGCCTCTTCAAGCAAATAAGATTCCACTTATGATTACTGAATGGGGTCAATGAGAAAAAAAGGGATGCATAGTGTTTCTGGCATTTGGAACCTGAAGATTCTAGAAGACACAGGGGCAGAGAAATCTGCTTGTATCAGACAAGCTGTGCCACTAGTGAAGGAATCTCCAATGGGGTAGAACTGTTAGTAAGCAAAACAGTTCGCCTCCCTCTCAGCTCGTGCACACTGTGTTGAATGGCTGTGCACAGCACAGCCATGCAAAGAAGTGTGCTTACAGCAAAGCACACAGACACAGCCCCCTAGTAAAAAAAACACACCCAGTACACAGTTAACCCTTTGAATGCTTTAGATGTTAACCCCTTCCTGCCCAGTGCCATTAGTACAGTGTCAGTGCTTTTTTATTAGCACTGATCACTGTACTGTTTTCCCCAGTGTCAGAATGCCCGCCGCAGTCCTGCTATAAGTCGCTGATCGCCGCCATTACTGGTAAAAAAAAAAATCCTAGTATATAGGTTGCCATTTGTAAACGCTATAACTTCCAGGTAAACCAATTAATTTACATGTATTGGGATTTTTCTTTTTTAGCGAAGACATGTAACAGAATACATGTTGGCCTACATTTATGATGAAATTTGATTTTTTTTTTACTGGACATGTTGAATAGCAAAAAGTCAAAAATATTGTTTTTTTTTTTCCCCCTCATAATTGACAGTCTTTTTTTCTTTTTTTTTTTTAATAGCGCAAAAGAAAAAAAACACAAAAAAAAACCAAAAACAAAAAAAAACACAGGCGATCAAACACCACCGAAAGAAAGCTCAATAGCTCAATTTGTGGGGAAAACAAGGACGTAAATTTAATTTGGGTGCAGCGCCGCATGACCGTGCAATTGTCAGTTAAATTAACGCAGCACCGTAACGCAAAAAATTGCCTGGTCAGGAAGGGAGATAAATCCTCTGGAAAGCAGGTGGTTGAAGCAAAGAGTTACATTCTAATTTAATCCAGGTGATGATGGAGACATTGTAGTACTTGCCTTAAGACTCACTTACCTGACAGCTGGCGATCTCCTCTCGGACCCTTTGTGCCCTCAAACAAGGACTGCTGGCCCTGCATTGCACAGAATATCAGAAAGCCTGCAATTGGTGGATCAATGAAGGAAAGGGGCATAGCGTAATGAAAGCCTATGGGAGTGAGGAATAAAGCAGGTATTACAGCTTATTCATCTACCCAGATATCAGTACAGGGAGGCTGTTTGGCTTTGGTGGGAAGCCTTTGAAGGAGGTTTACAATCTCTAAATCCAGGTCTCTGTGTTGTTGGGGTACTCTCATCACCCACAGTAATTTTTCAATAGGTGCTTCACTAGCTGAAAACATAGTGTGTATGAAAATCAGACACTGACTGCTGCCATAAAAGGATATTTTAGCTTGAATACATAGTATAGTAGGTGGAGAAGTAAACCAGTATGTATACTACTTTTAATCTATTATACTGAAAATTCCATTTCACACAAAGCATTTCAATTCACTGATATTTTGAGGTGGAAGATATTCTCTTGGCATTGCTTGGTCCATGTGGCCAGCTAAGACTAGGTAGAATGCAGCCATATTCTTAAATGAGATTTTATTGTATATGCTGAAATCAAGCTTTAAGTAATACATTTTATTTTTACTGTTAATGGGCTCCTAAACACTTTAGTTTATGTACAGGTTTACTTACTTCAATAACCACTACATTGTCCTCGAAGTGTACTATACTCCTGCAAAATCTAAAATTTACAAAAACAGGATTGCACATTTTAAATAAAAGGCTTAAAATAACTCTTCTCAATTGTCTCACACTGTTGACTTATGTGCAGCTATTACTTTTCACTCCCAAACTAAATATACATCTGTAGTAAAAAGAAATTTCATGGAATCTCCCGATTACTTAAACTAATGACTAAACTGGACATGTGTTTGGCCTAATTTAGGAATGTCACCATTCTAGCTTAAACCCGTCTCCAATATGATGAAGTGGATGGAAATAAAAAATGATTACAGCTTTCTGTGAGGAGTTGCATTAGCTGCATGTCCTTTTATTAATAAAAGTTCTTATTACCTGAAATAGATTGCAAGGAATTACTTCCTACAATTCATGTGAATGCTTCAATGTTTGCTTGTTTGAATTTTGGCCACTACATCATAAAGTAAACCATGAAGAAGTTACTTAAGGGGGTTTCCACAATAACCCAGTAAGCAAAAACCCCTTGAGGCAGCCAAGATAAAAGGAGGACGATAGGTTTTCAAAGCCAGGGCTGTGAAGTGCCAGAAAAAGTAAAAAAAGCCACCCAAATTGCAAACCTTGTGGGGTAGAGGGACTTTATTCTCTATTTATTGCACTTTTCAAAAATCAACAGTCTCTCTCCCTGACAACAAAAACCACCCACACACACTTTCTTAAGATTTAAAGCGGAATAATAAAATTATTAGAGACCTGCTATTATCCTAAAGATCCTGGCCACCATGTTCCTGCAACAGAAGACAGCATTGTTCTGGTTCAGCACTGAAGCTTCAGAAATCTTCTTCAGCATTCAGCACTTATTGGATGCTTGTGTACTCCTGACCAGCTAGTTACGTCCTTAGTACTGCAGGACTAAGCAGTACTGTTTAGCAAATCTAGATTTTTTTTTTTTAGAAACAAAATACTTTTTTTTTTTGCACGAAAATAAATTTTGAAATGCAACACAAATCCCACATTTTGGTAAAATATAAAAGAGGATTGTGGTGAGTAAATGGATATTAAGCAAGCAAATCACCAAAATTGCAAGAGCCCATGAAAAAACAGCAGCACTCAAAATTGTTCATTGGGACACTATAAAAGAATTTACAGATCAGTTTAGAGCAGTGGTTCTCAACCTTTCTAGCGCCGCGACCCCTTAATACAGTTCCTCATGTTGTGGTGACCCCCAACCATTAAAATTATTTTCGTTGCTACTTCACAACTGTAATTTTGCAGTAGGAGGAATAGTGCCACGTCATTGGTGTCATTGGGGGGAATAGTGCCCCGTCATTGGTGTCAGTGGGAGGAATAGTGCCCCCTTCATTGGTGTCAGTGGGAGGAATAGTGCCCCCTTCATTGGTGTCAGTGGGAGGAATAGTGCCCCCTTCATTGGTGTCAGTGGGAGGAATAGTGCCCCCCCTTCATTGGTGTCAGTGGGAGGAATAGTGTCCCGTCATTGGTGTCAGTGGGAGGAATAGTGCCCCGTCATCGGTTCAGTGGGGGGAGGAATAGTGCCCCGTCATTGGTGTCAGTTGGGAGGAATAATGCCCCGTCATTGGTGTCAGTGGGGGGAGGAATAGTGTCCCGTCATTGGTATCAGTGGGGGGAGGAATAGTGCCCCGTCATTGGTATCAGTGGGGGGAGGAATAGTGCCCCGTCCATTGGTGTAGTCAGTGGGAGGAATAGTGCCCCCGTCATTGGTATCAGTGGGAGGAATAGTGCCCCGTCATTGGTGTCAGTGGGGGGAGGAATAGTGCCCATCCTTGGTGTCAGTGGGGAGGAATAGTGCCCCGTCATTGGTGTCAGTGGGGGGAGGAATCGTGCCCCGTCCATTGGTGTCAGTGGAGGAATAGTGCCCCGTCATTGGTGTCAGTGGGGGGAGGAATAGTGCCCCGATCATTGGTGTCAGTGGGGGGAGGAATAGTGCCCCATCCTTGGTGTCAGTGGGGGAAGGAATAGTGCCCCCATCCTTGGTGTCAGTGGGGGAAGGAATCGTGCCCCATCCTTGGTGTCAGTGGGGGGAGGAATAGTGTCCCGTCATTGGTGTCAGTGGGAGAAGGAATAGTGCCCCATCCATTGGTGTCAGTGGGGGGAGGAATAGTGCCCCATCATTGGTATCAGTGGGGGGGAGGAATAGTGCCCCATCCTTGGTGTCAGTGGGGGGAGGAATAGTGCCCCATCATTGGTGTCAGTGGGGGAGGAATCGTGCCCCATCCTTGGTGTCAGTGGGGGGAGGAATCGTGCCCCATCCTTGGTGTCAGTGGGGGAGGAATCGTGCCCCATCATTGGTGTCAGTGGGGGGAGGAATCGTGCCCCATCCTTGGTGTCAGTGGGGGGGAGGAATCGTGCCCCATCCTTGGTGTCAGTGGGGGAGGAATCGTGCCCCATCCTTGGTGTCAGTGGGGGGAGGAATCGTGCCCCATCCTTGGTGTCAGTGGGGGGAGGAATCGTGCCCCATCCTTGGTGTCAGTGGGGGGAGGAATCGTGCCCCATCCTTGGTGTCAGTGGGGGGAGGAATCGTGCCCCATCCTTGGTGTCAGTGGGGGGAGGAATCGTGCCCCATCCTTGGTGTCAGTGGGGGGAGGAATCGTGCCCCATCCTTGTGTCAGTGGGGGGAGGAATCGTGCCCCATCCTTGGTGTCAGTGGGGGAGGAATCGTGCCCCATCCTTGGTGTCAGTGGGGGGAGGAATCGTGCCCCATCATTGGTGTCAGTGGGGGGGAGGAATAGTGCCCCATCCTTGGTGTCAGTGGGGGGAGGAATCGTGCCCCATCCTTGGTGTCAGTGGGGGGGGAGGAATCGTGCCCCATCCTGGTGTCAGTGGGGGGAGGAATCGTGCCCATCCTTGGTGTCAGTGGGGGGAGGAATCGTGCCCCATCCTTGGTGTCCAGTGGGGGGAGGAATCGTGCCCCATCCTTGGTGTCAGTGGGGGGAGGAATCGTGCCCCATCCTTGGTGTCAGTGGGGGGGGGAGGAATCGTGCCCCATCCTTGGTGTCAGTGGGGGGAGGAATCGTGCCCCATCATTGGTGTCAGTGGGGGGAGGAATCGTGCCCCATCCTTGGTGTCAGTGGGGGGAGGAATAGTGCCCCATCCTTGGTGTCAGTGGGGGGAGGAATCGTGCCCCATCATTGGTGTCAGTGGGGGGAGGAATCGTGCCCCATCCTTGGTGTCAGTGGGGGGAGGAATCGTGCCCCATCCTTGGTGTCAGTGGGGGGAATAGTGCCCCATCGTTGGTGTCAGTGGGAGGAATAGTGTCCCATCGTCATTGGTGTCAGTGGGGGGAGGAATTAGTGCCCCATCCTTGGTGTCAGTGGGGGGAGGAATAGTGCCCCATCGTTTGGTGTCAGAGGGGGGAGGAATAGTGCCCCATCGTTGGTGTCAGTGGGAGGAATAGTGCCCCATCGTTGGTGTCAGTGGGGGAGGAATAGTGTCCCATCGTTGGTGTCATTTGGGGGAGGAATAGTGTCCCATCGTTGGTGTCAGGGGAGGAATAGTGTCCCCATCGTTGGTGTCAGTGGGAGGAATAGTGTCCCATCGTTGGTGTCAGTGGGAGGAATAGTGCCCCATCATTGGTATTAGTGACACCAATGATGGGGCACTATTCCCACTGACACCAATGATACTTACCTTGCAGACCCCTGCTCCAGCCTGGGCTCGCTCGCTCCCCTCCCTCTCCCATGGTACCGACACTTACCTGTCAGATGTCTTCCTTCTCCGGCCGCTCTCCTCCTCTTCACTCGCTCGATCTTCGCGGTGCCGCTCGGCTCCTCCTCTCCAAGCTCCACCTCCTTGCCGGTGATTGGCCGCCTGTGTGCCTCTCCTGAGCTACAGTGCCGGCGGCCAATCACAGGCGAGGATTGATCTCGAGGTGTGTCCAGATGACAGGGGCGGCATGTCATCCCGCCCACACCTGGGACGGACGGTGGCGGGTGGCGAGGAGCGGTGTCTCGGTTCCTAAGACCATCGGAAATATGTGTTTTCCGATGGTCTTAGGCGACCCCTGTGGAAGCGTCGTTCGACCCCCAGGTTGAGAACCGCTGGTTTAGAGTTACACTTACTGGCATTTAAAAAATTGGTTTAAGTTTTTTTTTTTTTTAATGATAATAAAACTTTATTGGTGTCACAAAATGGCTGAAAGAGGACACTACTGCACCGTATTCCCTAAACTAGATCTATAGTCAGTATTTTTATTTTAGTCGAGTAGGGTAGGATTAGAAAGCCCATCAGGTATTTGGGGACACACACACACACACACACACACACACACACACACACACACACACACACACACACACACAGGCACACACACACACACACACACACACAACAACACACACACACACACACACAACACACCACACAGAACACCACACACAAAAATGGCAGGTTTCTGTGATGTAAACAAAAGGAGGGGCAGTAAACATAAAAAAACTAAAATAAATGTGGTTGCATAAGTGTGCACACCCTCTTATAACTGGGGATGTAGCTCTGTTCAAAATTAAGCAATCACATTCAAAATCTTATTAAATAGGAGTCAGTACACACCTTCCATCAATTAAAGTGCCTCTGATTAACCCCAAATAAAAGTTTAGCTGTTCTAGTAGGTCTTTCCTGACATTTTCTTAGTTGCTTCCTACAGCAAAAGCCATGGTCCCCAGACAGCAGCTTCCAAAGCATCAGATGAATCTCACTGATAAAAAGGTATCACAGTCAGGGAAGGGTACAAAAGAATGTCCAAGGCATTAGATATACCATGGAACACAGTGAAGACAGTCATCATCAAGTGGAGAAAATATGGCACAACAGTGACATTACCAAGAACTGGACGTCCCTCCAAAATTGATGAAAAGACGAGAAGAAAACTGGTCTGGAAGGCTCCCAAGAGGCCTACAGCAACATTAAAGGAGCTGCAGGAATATCTGACAAGTACTGGCTGTGTGGTACATGTGACAACAATCTCCCGTATATGTCTGGGCTATGGGGTAGAGTGGCAAAACTGAAGCCTTTTCTTAAGAAAAAAAACATCCAAACCTGGCTAAATTTTGCAAAAACACATCTGAAGTCTCCCAAAAGCATGTGGGAAAATGTGTTAAGGTCTGATGAAACCAAGGTTGACCTTTTTGGCTACAAATTCCAAAAGATATGCTTGGTGCAGAAACAACACTGTACATCACCAAAAGAAAACCATACCCACAGTGAAGCCTTTGAGGTGGCAGCATCATGCTTTGGGGTTGTTTTTCATCAGCTGGAACTGGGGTCTTAGTCAAGGTAGAAGGAATTATGAACAGTTCCAAATACCAGTCAATATTGGCACAAAACCTTTAGGCTTCTGCTAGAAAGCTGAACATGAAGAGGAACTTCATCTTTCAGCAGGACAACGACCCAAAGCGTACATCCAAATCAACAAAGAAATGGCTTCACCAGAGCCCAGAAGATTAAAGTTTTAGAATGGCCCAACCAGAGCCCAGACCTGAATCCGATAAAAAATCTGTGGGGTGACTGAAGAGGGCTGTGCACAGGAGATGCCCTCACAATCTGATAGATTTGGAGTGTTTTTGCAAGGAAGAGTGGGCAAATATTGCCAAGTCAAGATGTGCCATGCTGATAGACTCATACCCAAAAAGACTGAGTGCTGGAATAAAATTAAAAAAGGTGCCTCAACAAAAATATTAGTTTAAGGGTGTGCACACTCATGCAACCATATTATTTTACTTTTTTAATTTTACTTATCTCCACCTAAAACATTTTAGTTTTTTGTTCAACTGAGTTGTACAGATTTATAGGTTACATTAAAAAGGTGGAAAAAGTTCTGAAAATGTGCCCAATTTGCATATTTTTTTTCAGGCTGAGTGGTCAAAGAAAAAATTTAAATGCGACTGCTTATTAAACTCTTGCCCTGTTTGTCCCTCCTTTTCCCTATAACCTCAGCTCTTCAGAATACTAGTACTAATGAATATCTACTTCACCATACAACCTATCCTCCCAGTAATGCCATGGTGACATGCATAAAACATTGAGGCTTTAATGAGACAGAAATCAAAACTGACAAGCACTGGTAACAGCCCAAATACTATTTAAAATACACTAAATAGCTAATGATAGGAAAATGACAGTGCCTATATTATAGTGCACCTGCCAAATGACAATAATACGGCTGCCATTGCTGACCTCAACTTCTAATAAGGTTAGTTTCCTGGCTGCCATGCTGATGCTTTGGTTTCAATATTTTCCTTGTCCCTGACTCAGGAGAGATAAAGAATTCAAAACCATTGACACATTTTGCAGCATACTTATTCAGAGTCTTTAGCCTAAAATTAATGAACATATAAAGCCAGGCATCTAGCAATTTCAGGAGGTATACAGCAATGCAGCCAATGCTTCTTTCATGACAGCTGCACTTTTAAAATTATTTTTAAAAGAGGTTGAAAATATTTTTAAAAGAAAAAAAGAAGAGCAAGCTCACCTTAAAAGGCAAATGGTCACCATATATCAAAAAAAAGTATACAATAAATATAAAACAATAAAAGTAGTTCCTATGCTACAGTCAGCACAATATCACATACCACCCACACATTGTGATCTAGATTTATCCAGCATTACTCTTACACGTCATTCTCATTCCCTAATGAGCTCTAATCAGGCTGAAAGACAAACAGTTTAGCAAAACAGACCAAACCGTTCACAGGTGATTTAACTATATGGGACACGTTCTAAATGAGGCACAGCTTAAAATGCTTCATTGGCAACTCAGGAAGCACTTTAGTGCATCTCTCAAAGAAAAAAAAAAAAAGTGGAGGTGGGGTTGCACACGTCAACATACTGTATTTGCCGGCGTATAAGACAACTTTTACCCCTTGAAAATCTTCTCAAAAGTCGGGGGTCGTCTTATACGCCGGTATACGGCATACTGACACTTTTTAGGGGGGTGGCGCGGGTGCCGCCGCCGCCCCCCCCTTCCAACGGAAGGGACACTAAGTACAGGTGTGGGCAGGGGCTGCTGTCTCTTACCTGGATCCAGTCCCACGACGATCCGGTCCAGGAAGCGCGGCTGCTCCTTCAGTTCGGCCACTGGATGTTCGTGCGGCTGCTCGGCTCCGCCTCCTCACCGGTGATTGGCCGCCAGAACTGTAGCTCAGGAAAGGGACACAGGCGGCCAATCACCGGTGAGGGGGCGGAGTCTAGC